CAACTCCCAGAATTCCCCAGCCAGCATGCTGGCTGGGGAATTCTGGGAGTTGTAGTCCACATATCTTAAAGTTGCCAAGGTTGAGAAACACTGCCCTAAACTGTGGCCTGGAAGAGGAGGAGCAGCATGTTCTTGTAGTTTTTTTTTTCTTGCTTCATCAAGACAGATGCAGTGTTTTGATCAGATCCCCAGCTTGTGACAAGGTAGACTAAATCTAAACAGAACAGTGGCTCTTGTAGTCTTGCATGCCTCGTTTTTTCTTTTTGGAATGGGAAATGGAGCTTCTCCCTGTTGGCATTCTGACCAGCATATTCCTTAACTAATTCAGCCCCCACTTCCTCTTTTCTACCCCTATGCAGAAATTACTAGGAAATTCTCTCCTGAAGCTGGAGGGAGAAGACCGCTTGGATATCAACTGCACTTTACCCTTCAGTGACCAGGTAAGTGGTTTCCTGTTTCAGTTCAACCTCCCCGGAGCAGAAGCTTTTGGGCTCCCGGACAGGAAACTCCATTTAGGTTTTGAATCATTGGCGAATCTCCTTTCATCAGGGCATTTTGCATTTATTTATTTTTTATTTATTTATATTTCAAATTTGCCATCGTTCATCTCACTGCAGAGCAACTCTGGGCGGTTTATAATCGAAGAATAAATATGAATTAAAATAGAATAAGTAATCATTACAAACACATTACAAAAGGCCCCTTTATGAATATGTTCATATTTTGAGCAACCTTGCTGCCTCCTTTCTATGGCGTTTGACCAAGGGATGTGTCAATCCCGTTGACTAGGTCGTCCTGGTGGGCGCGGAGGAAGGCCTTTATGCCCTGAATGTGTTGAAGAATTCTTTAACGCATGTCCCTGGGATTGGTGCTGTCTTTCAAATACACCTCATCAAGGACCTGGAGAAGCTGCTTATGATTGCAGGTAGGGAGTAGGAAACGATGCCTTCGGTTTCAACAGAAGCCTCGCAAACTTCTTCAGTAGGACATTTCTCTCTGCTTGCCTCCTTGCGGCTTGAAATCTTACTCAACAAATGTGAGCTTTTGAAACTCCACATATACCTTCAGATATATCCTACCAACAATGAGGGCTAGAAACTTGCGTTTAAAAATGCTGGTTCCTGTGATATATATTGTCTCTCTGGGGTCTCCCCTGCATTTCCATGCAATTATTGGAAGTGTGCAGTCCTGAACAGCATAGAATAATGCCTGTTCCTTTCCATTTTGCAATACAGAATTGAATGTATATATTTTGTTGCCTTCAGAGGATTTGAAGTCATTCTCTGTGGCATCTTTCAGCCTTTGTACGTGATTTTTTAAAAAGCCCTTTATATCATCTTCCATTCTGATCTTTTCTCAAATAGCTCAGCAGCCTTGTTTCCAATGGCCAAATGATTCTTGGGGTCAAATCACAATACACTGCAGATGGTAGAGGGGTTGTATGTATATGGATGGAGCAGGAGTGTCTGCGGGATATGGTCAAAAAAGTCAAGATGGTGGCCATGATGGTGCTAACAGCTGTTTTTTATGCGTGTTGCCCACCCAACGCACATAAAAATGGGCAGAGTTTCAATCTCAGCATCATGGCCACCATCTTGACTTTTTTGACAGTACCTTCCGGATGTCCCTGCTGGGAGTGGGCTGAACTTTGATCTGTATTATTTTGCTCTGCTGGTTGGATGTGTTTCTGTTCTTCTGGCTTGATGAAATTTAAGCATCTGTGGTGTGGTTTCCCCAGGAGAAGAAAGGGCGTTGTGCCTTGTTGATGTTAAAAAAGTGAAGCAGTCCCTCGCTCAGTCCCACCTACCAGCCCAACCTGACGTCTCGCCCCATATTTTTGAGGCTGTGAAAGGCTGCCATCTTTTTGCTGCTGGCAAGGTAGGTCCTTCAAGCTCTGAGTTAGTCATGGAGCCACACTTGGAACTCTGGGCTAATAATCCAAGGGGTTGCCAGACTCCATCTGAAGAACACACCTCTGTTGCTCGTATGCTCCTGAAAAATATTTGCATTCTGCACTTCATCATACTATGATTTCAGGGTAGTTTTCAGAGTAAAAGCAATACACACACACACACACAGAGTACATATACATATATATTTAAAGCAAGAAATTTAAAATCTTGGGAAGGTGGTACTTCACAGTATTGTTCACAGTAAAATGGTTTGTATGTTGGTTTTATGTCAAAGGTTTTATTTGCAGGTAAGTAAGTTCACACCTGAGAGCCCGTTTGGTCTAGTGGTGAAGGCACTAGGCTAGAAACCGGGAGACGGTGAGTTCTAGTCCCGTCTAGGCACAAACCCAGCTGGGGGACCTTGGGCCAGTCACTTTCTCTCAGCCCTAGGAAGGAAGCAATGGCAAACCACTTCTGAAAAACCTTGCCAAGGAAACCGTCCAGGCGGTCTCTGAGAATCAGACCCAGTTGAATGGATAGGGGGAAAAAAGTTCGACCCCCCCCCCCAAGTATCTCCCTAATGTGAGGGGGAGTAAGCAAGCCTGGCCCTCCAAGACCATCGCTTAACTCTCTCTCCTGTAAGGAAATGACTGCTATTTAAGTCAGTTCCCTCCCTGCCTCCCTCGTATTCATAGAATCACCTTCTGAAGAACCTTCCCACCTTTGGAATTTTCCTCGTCTCCTGAGGCTCTGGTTGAATCCAAACATTTGCAATTATAATAACTGCCTTGGGCGTCCCTGTTTAGCTCTTTTCCACGTCTTCCCCGATCTCTCTTTCCCCTCTTTTGATCTGTAAGCCGTTTGTGGCAGGGATCTGTCCTGCATTCAGAGAAGCAGGTTGCAAAGGATTATTACTATTCTTGTAATCAAAATAAATGAATAATAAGGTAAAAAAACAGGGCTGTATCTGGGGGTGGGGTGCTGCAGTGTCCAGTTCTTGTGATTTACCCTTGTGGAGGAAAAAAACATGAGAACTCACCAGAAGCATGGCAATTTTAAAAATACCATACCTGTAGCAAAAGAAAAGAAAGCTGCTTGATCAACGTGTTGCGTAACTTGGTCTTTCATTTAAGTAGAAAACTTACGTTGAAGAAGTTATTCCAGCTGTAGAAACTTCCTTTTTTGTCTGAGTCCTTTCAAAACTCAATTATCCCAAATAGTACCAACCTCTTTACCAAATGGTGCTCCTCTTGGGTTCCCTTGCAGATTGAGAATGGGCTGTGCATCTGTGCAGCCATGCCCAGCAAAGTGGTGGTGCTGCGTTACAATGAGAGCCTCAGCAAGTTCTGCATCAGGAAGGTAAAGTTTGTCTTCCAGTTCCACAAATGTCAAAAGTTGGCTCCGGTGAAAGCCTGGTGGCACCTCTATTAGATCAACAGAACTGGACCATGTCTGGCCTCCATCCTTCTCTTGCCCTTGAACCAGCCTGTCTGCAACATGAATGTCTGCATGATAATTCCTTAGTATAAGTTAATGTTGTATCCTCACATGTCTCCATATTCAGCTGATTCAAGAGGTTCTTGGTGGTGTCTCTGCCATGGTGGGAGATGAGGATTGTGTCTTCTGGTTTTCAACTCTATTTTTCAAAGGGTGTCTCAGGACCCCAAGGTTTATGAGAACAGGAATGATAGAAAAGTTGTCCCAATAGTCAACATTCCTGATCTTCTCCTAAAATGTGCAGCTACTGATCGTTGCTTGAGTCTTCTAATCCTGAAACGAAGCATTCTGGAAGGGTTCCAAAAGATTGAATGTCTGTTTATAATATCTCCACTACAGTAGCTCTTGTGGGTTCTGTAATCCTAGAACAATACTGAAACAGTAGCAAGTCAAGAGGCTATCCCTTAGGGATGCTGCAAAAAAGTTGGTCTCTGTCACAGAGAACATAGACAAAGGCCTTTAGTTATCGGAAGGCAGTATCTGGTTGAACATTAGGAAAAATTTCTTCAGGATAAGACCGGTTCAACAAAGGCATCAATGGGGGCAAGGTATTTGGTTTCCCTTTGCTGGATGTGTACATAGAGCCTGGAGACCTAATGGTTTAGGGTGCTTTAATACAGGTGTAGCAAGCAGGGGTGGGATCCAGCACCCCTTCTAACTCCATGATCCTATGGACAGCTGTGAAACATTTTTCTAGAAGTGAGATCAAGCAGGCCTTTGATCTGTGTTGTATTGTGTGACTACAGAAAGGCAACTTCTGGGAAAGATCTTCAGCCAGGCAGGGGGTTACCCAATGAAGGAGAATCTTGCTGACCAACCTTGTGTGCTTCATTGTTTCTACCCTCGCAGGAGATTGAAACCTCAGAGCCATGTAGCTGTATCCATTTCACCAATTACAGCATCATCATCGGGACAAATAAGTTTTATGAAATTGAGATGAAGCAGTATACCCTTGAGGGTAGGAATCCCTTCTTATAAGCATGCTTTTAAGGGAGAACGTTGAAGGCTCTTTGGGAAGTGGTGATGGTAGGGCTTCTATCACTCTGATTCATGCCTGATCAAATTTGGTCAGCAGAAAAAGGCAAGACCTTTTGTCGGGGTGGAAACAGAATGGGCTGACAGAGAAGGGAGCTCGCAGTGGGAGTCAGTCCAAGATCTGCATTAGAGATCTAGCAGGCAAGGAACTTCCCAAATTATATCTCAGATGCTGAAGTCTGCTCAGATAGCAAGTTTTTCACTCAGCCAAAAGAACAGCATAGGACCGTCACCTCTAGCAAAAATGACTCAGAATAGAGGCTAATTGGACCTTATTCACTGCTGTGCTCCTATGGAGCAATGGACAATATACAGCCTTCTAGATGTGGCACTGTGTCTCCCATCATTCTGCATTGTTGGATCTTGATGGCTAGGGCTGTAGGGGGTCAGACTTTAAAAACCTGTACAGAATCTCATGTTGCCTATCTCTGCCACAAGGGAAAATCTTAAAAATATGTTCCTTTTTGGACTTCCTGGTGGGTGGAAGAGAAAATGTCTGATCCACAGTTCCTTCCACAACTAAAGGGCTACATAGGTGTAGATGGTTGGTTAATAGGTAGCATGGTTGAAAAGAAAGGTGTGGGATTCCAGGGAACTCCTTGCTTTTTCTAAAAATGAAATATGTTGTTTTAGAATTCCTGGATAAGAATGACCATACCTTAGCATCAGCTGTGTTTGCATCGTCCACCAATAGTTTCCCAATCAATATCATCCAGGTGAATCCAACAGGGCAGAGGGAGGAATATCTGCTTTGTTTTCATGGTGAGTTCAATATGTTATCCTTGGACTGTCCTACAGGGTGGTCCTATGCCAACATTCTTCTGCAACAGAAGCAGATAATGGTTTGGGGCCTGGGGGTGCATTTGGAGTTTTGAAAGCTGGTAGCATACTTACAAAATGGTTGCCGTGGTGCTCATGGCCAGTCAAAGGAGAACTGGTCACCTAGGATGTTCCTTACCATTCCAGGGGAACCTTGGTGAGCATTTCTGCAAGGAACTGGTGATCTCCTTGGTAGAATGGCAGTTTCTTTTTCATAGAGCTTGTGTTTCACACAAAAGGATTTTGCACTGCACCTATAGAGGATGTTCGGCAGCACAGTTTTCGGTGGAAAAGAGGTCCTTCTCTGCCCACTTCAAATATCCTACAAGGGACCTCCCACATCTCAGTTTCTTTCACCCACCACAAAAATAGCATCTCACGTGGTCTCTTCCAAAAACATCTTCCATTCTTCATATAGCAGATGTTTCTTTGATTCAGCATTAGTATTCCCAAGAGATTTGTGCTTTGTCAATTGGGTGATGATTGAATCAACAGGAAAAGTTTCAAGTAGAGCTATTTTGTTCCAAGCTGCTTTGTGCTCATGCCCAAGTTGCTACTGGATTTATGCGGGTTGTAAGGCTGCACATTTCTTGTAACTACCCTTGAGTTCCATTTGTCAGAAAAAGAGACTGTAGGAATTCTAATAAATACATCAGATATCTGGAAGTCCTTTGGTTGCTATTCCTCTACGGCAGTGTTTCTCATGCTTGGCAACTTTAAGATGTGTGGGCTTTAACTCCCAGAATTCTGAGAGTTGAAGTCCACACAACTTAAAGTTGTTTAAGGTTGCAAAATACTGCTCTAAGGGGTTCAGAACATGGACATGCATATAGTATTGACCAAGCTGAAACATTTTTAGCCACTGCTGGAGTTGAAGTTGTGTTGTGAAAAGAAATGTTTTGTTAAGGACAATTGAATTCTGGGCTCCTGGCAGATTGCTGTTTCCTTCTTTCTTAAATATCCCATTTCAAGTGACTCTTCCTGATTTTTTTCCCCCACTCCCCTGCAGAATTTGGCATCTTTGTAGACTCCTACGGAAGGCGCAGCCGCTCAGATGACTTGAAATGGAGCCGTCTGCCTTTAGCATTTGGTAAGTGCTGTGGTTTGTTTCTAACCGCCTTGTTCTGCACACATCTTATTCTGGTGTTTTTTGAACTCAAGAGGGTTGGAAAAATACTCAAAATGCATATCCTTTAGAGATGCAGCTTGTAAAGTTGATTGGAAAAGAGATGCAAGGAAAAGTCTAACAAAAATTATCTTTCCCATTCTACCATACTTCAGTAGGATTCGTGTTGTGTTGTTTCTTTAATATAGAGCAGTGTTTCTCAACCCCAGCCGCTTTAAGCCGCTTTAAGATCTGTGAACTTCAACTCCCAGAATTGAAGTGAACACATTTTAAAGTGGCTGGGGTTTAAAAACACTGATATAGAAAGTCTCAACCATCTAACTGCTTAAAAAATATATTGTAAAAAAAAGTACAGGTCCTCATTTAGCAACTTTCTTGGACAGCGACTGTTCAGTTACAATGATGAAAAGGTAACAGCGACCAATACCCACAGTTATGACCTTCACAGTGTCTCTCTGTCATGTGCTCACCATTACAGTCAGTACGTGTTGTTCTGTACCTGACCAGTTTTTTTTTTCTTCCTCCCCCCCTCGGAGAGCAGAGAGATTGCCTAAACAAGCTGTCTCTTCCTGAGCTGCTTTTCTCCAAAGCGCAGCACATCCCTAAAAAGTGCTAAGGGGATGCTGCCTGACACTGACAAGATCCAAATCAGTTTCACACTGAAGGCTTTTGTTTGCCTCCTAAGCAGCTGGTGGCTCATAGCCGTGAGCGTGCTAGGCAAACAGCTGGCGCTAGCGCATTCCTTTCT